ACTTGTTACTGTTTTCTAATGCTTAGCTTTCTTTAATCTCACTGCACTCCATTAGTACCTCTTTGTGCTACTGTTCATCTGGAGCTGCCTTTCCATGCACATCATTTTCTAGATTGACCTCCATAATGGTTATTTAGGAGTAGTTTGAGAAAAGGGATAAAGGGACAGAAAACAGATCAGGGATTGCCAGTAGCTAAAAGAGGAGGGGTGGGATGGTGATTACAACAGGGCCTGAGAGAACTTTGGAAGGAAATGGTAGAAATGTCCTGTATTTGTGGCAGTAGTGGTGAACAACTCTGTATATTTGTCAGTCCATCAAAATGTACTTTAAAAGAATGTATTTTGTTCTGCGTAAAGTATACCTCAATAAACCTGGCTTTAAAAATAAATAAGTAAATAAAATTATCCAGTTTGTGGGGAAGGTGAATCATGGACACCTCTCTTATGTATCTAAGAGGCTCTGAGGCTTTTATATGTTTAATGATAAGCAGATTTTTGTCTATGTCATATGGAAGAAGAGAGCTTTGGACATGCATGAATACAATATTGCCATTTTGAGTTGTAAATATTTCCTTCCCATTGTTAGAAACCCAAGGGAAAAAAACTCTATTCATTGAGGTGTTTTAAAATTTACATTGATATTTTCATTGAAATCTTCTAAAGTTAAGCCTACCACACATTAACAGAGAAAATTAATGTATGTTTGGGGTAAAGCTGAAAAAGTACTGTAAATTTTTTAATTACTTTAGAAATGTTTCAGGTCAAAAAAGGATTCACTTGTTACTGTTTTCTAATGCTTAGCTTTCTTTAATCTCACTGCACTCCATTAGTACCTCATTGTGCTACTGTTCATCTGGAGCTGCCTTTCCATGCATATCATTTTCTAGATTGACCTCCATAATGGTGATTTAGGAGTAGTTTGAGAAAAGGGATAAAGGGACAGAAAACAGATCAGGGATTGCCAGTAGCTAAGAGAGGAGGGGTGGAGTGGTGATTACAACAGGGCCTGAGAGAACTTTGGAAGGAAATGGTAGAAATGTCCTGTATTTGTGGCAGTAGTGGTGAACAACTCTGTATATTTGTCAGTCCATCAAAATGTACTTTAAAAGAATGTATTTTGTTCTGTGTAAAGTATACCTCAGTAAACCTGGCTTTAAAAATAAATAAGTAAATAAAATTATCCAGTTTGTGGGGAGGGTGAATCATGGACACCTCTCTTATGTACCTAAGAGGCTCTGAGGCTTTTATATGTTTAATGATAAGCAGATTTTTGTCTATGTCATATGGAAGAAGAGAGCTTTGGACATGCATGAATACAATATTGCCATTTCGAGTTGTAAATATTTCCTGCCCATTGTTAGAAACCCAAGGGAAAAAAACTCTATTCATTGAGGTGTTTTAAAATTTACATTGATGTTTTCATTTAAATCTTCTAAAGTTAAGCCTACCACACATTAACAGAGAAAATTTATGTATGTTTGGGGTAAAGCTGAAAAAGTACTGTAAATTTTTTAATTACTTTAGAAATGTTTCAGGTCAAAAAAGTACTTTAGTACTGTGGTATAATGTGGACCCAAACACCTGAAAATATAGCTATCTTCATCTGTTCTGAATCTGCTCAACCATTTTTTGGTTATCATAATTAATGAGTTTAATAGGCACTGGTATCCAAATCATAAAACTTCCTTATATTCTCTGGGTTACATTGTTGTCATGAATGCAATGTCACTAAAATGTCACCATTTTATTTTAGAAACATTTCATTAACTACTTCTGGTTACTATTTGTGATACTCATTAGAATGTTGCATCTGTTTATAATAAATAGGTTGTTTTTCTTTTCCTTAATGAGCCATCTTTAATCAATTATTTGTAAAAATGTTTGATTAAAACAAGGCTTTTGTTTCATCCATCAGGAGAAACAAATTTATAATTTATGCATTTTAGGATTAAATAGTGTCTCGATTTTATACAGAAAAATAAAGTGACCTTAAAATGACTGAGAACTCATCTTAAGGCTTCTCTCAACTGTGAAACCAACACACAGAATGCTATTAGGCGATTTTATACAGAAAAATAAAGTGACCTTAAAATGACTGAGAACTCATCTTAAGGCTTCTCCTCTCAACTGTGAAACCAGCACACAGAATGCTATTAGACAAGTTACTTCTTAAATGAGGTTATTCATGAAGAATCTAAAATATATTCTTCAAAATAAAGACAAATATGCCAAGAAGAAAGTAAAAGGAGAAAAAACAGAATTCTTGTTTACTTTGAGAATAAATGCTATAAACTATGCTACCTTATATACATTGAACCATTTGGATTGGCTGCCTGTTATCATATCTGACACTTGAACAGAATTGCTAAGATATTAGATATTTTTCCTGGTCTCACATTAGAAATAAGCATTTGAAATCATACATGAAAAGGACCAGGCCCTTAAAGGCTTTGATTGTTACTTTTTACTGTAAAGTACAGCCTTGGACAATAAAATCTAGCCAAGCAAAAACCCTCCAATGTGAGGAACTCTAATTATTTACAGAAGGATGCAAAACAGTCAGCAAGTTCATATGAGAAAAAATTTGAAAACCTTTCAAGGAGTGTGTCTGTCTATTGATGAGTTAGTATAAGGTAGTAAATTGCACAACAGATAGTCTTGACTTTATTAAGAAGTCACACAGTAATATCTTTCATATGCCTTTCTGTGTGTTGTAGGTAAAAGCCATCATGGCTTTGGTTGCTGTTTTCCTTTTGCTAGTGATTATCAGTAAGTATTCACTGGATTATTACTTCTTGGGGATATTATTTGTTTTAGAGTTCATTTTAATTCCTTTTTAATTTTTCAGTTGACCTAGTATGTCTAATGTCAGGATTGAATAATGATTGTGATCTGAGTCAGGAGTCCTTAACCGAGAATATATGGATTTATGAAAATTCTCCTAAATTGTATGTAAAATCTTGTGTGAATATAAATATATACATTTTTATGGGGAGAGAGTCTATATCTTTTGTCAGATTCTCAAAGGGAACTCCTGTCCTACACCCCACCCTCACCCCCACCAAATTCAGGGCTAAGTGATTTGTTCAAGGCTAAATATAGTTTCTGTTACACTTAGGACCAAAGCATTCATTTTCTATTAGTTATTAACTTTCAGGTATGACAGTTTGCATTTTATGATATTTTGTTGGAAGGATAAATCCAGATATATTCTCTAGATGATGGTTTTTTGTTTGTTTTTTATTTGGTTTTTGTTTTGTTTTGGATTTGAGTTTGATTTCAGTCATTGAAGCATAACTCCTTCCCTACCTTTTTTCCTTAATGTTCTTAAGGGCAGATCATTTTTAATATCTCCTTTTCTTCAAGGCTTCTTTACCTGTGCTTACAGTGATTTTATGAAGATGTGGAAAGACTCTAAAAGTGGTCATCTGAAAAATTCTATGATGATATTCTTTTTAAGCAGAAAAAAGTTTTGTAACAAAGAAACACAATTGATCCTCATTTCATGGATGCTTTGTTTGCAAATTCATTTACCAGCTAAAATTTATTTGTATCATGAAAATACTCATGGTGCTTGTGGTGCTTTCGTAGTCATTCCTAGACATGTTCAGAGCAGCAAAATATTTGTGTCTCTCGACTCGCATGTCCCAACTGAGATCAAACGAGGCCATCTTTGCCTTTTTATTTCAGCTCTCACAACATAAACGAATGTCCTTTTTGTAGTCTGTGTAGTGCCATGTTTTCCACATTTTTGCACTTTTTGTTCGTGATTTCACTGTTTTAAAACAGCTCCCAATCACAGTGCTGAAGTGCTCCCTAGTGTTGCTAAGTGCAAGAAGGCTATGTTGTGCCTTACAGAGAAAATACATGTGCGAGGTAAACTTTGTTCAGGCATGAGTTATAGTGCTGTTGGCCTTGAGTTCAATGTTATTGAATTAACAATATGTATTAAGTAAGATGTCTTTAAACAAAAGCACTCATAAAACAAGGCTATGTATTGATTGACAAAAATGCAGTAGCCAGTTTCACAGGAACTTAACCCTATATTTTCCCTAGGAGCAGTGGTTCTGATTCAGTATTTGTTTAAGTCAGTGTTTGTGACTTAACAGTATTGAACTTTATAGAACATAACTACTTCAAATAACAGGAATCAGTTATATGTATCATATGATGGACAACTTGGAAAATGTAAAGTAGCATAAAGAAGAAAATAAAATTCAAGTATAATCTTACCACACAGAGATGCTATTGTTAATATAACTATTTTGTATACTTCTAGTCTTTTCCTATTAATATATAAACATGTTTTTCAAAAACTAAGATCATATTATATATGCTTTCTAATAAATATATTATAAATAGTTTTCCATTATTAAACTTTTAAATAATATTTTGGTAACGCCAAATATTATAACCAATATTTGGTTATGCCATGATTAATTTGATCAAAATGCCAATGTTAGAGATTTAGGTTGTTTTGTGATATTTTTTGCTTCCTCTTTCCGATTTATTACCTCTTATCTCAGATAAAAGTTCAGTCCTCATTACCTGGTTTTAAAAGTGAACACAGCTACCTTTAGGAATATTGCTTCTAATATAGCATGTGAATCTGATTTTGATTTTTTTTTTTTTCATTACCTCTTATCTCAGATAAAAGTTCAGTCCTCATTACCTGGTTTTAAAAGTGAACACAGCTACATTTAGGAATATTGCTTCTAATATAGCATGTGAATCTGATTTTGATTTTTTTTTTTTTTCATCTTTTTCTCTTACAGTTCTTATAGTTGTGAAATTCCGTACTTGATTTGATGACAGAGATCTTCATTAAACAAGACCTGGGACAATAATAGTAAAAGATTGCTGCGTAATTTAAATGAAACCTATGTATATAACTTTCAAAACTTCTTTTTCAAGAAACTAAGAGGCAAGTATCTCTTCAAATTGGAGCATTGAGAATGTCCAAGTGTATTCTTCCCTTCTAACAAAATGTTCTTTTAATAATTATGTTTAAGGCAAAGATAACCTGCCTCTATTTTGCCATATTCCGAGGATCTAATTTGAAATTAGATACTTGCCAGTTCATTATTTGTGTATATAGTTAAACACTGATGACAATATTTCATACTAGCATTTTAATGGCATAAGGATTTGCATTGTTGCATTAAGGTGGGGGTCAGGTTGTGGGTCAGGAAGCCTATGTAGAATACCAAATCATTATGCTGAAAGAAATGCATAACCATTCTATCAGTATTTGCAAGAACATAAATCTTTTCACATTACAATTGCTTTGCAAGCAATTTCCACGTTTATGGGTGTAACAAAAGCTAAATGTTGTAAATGTTGCTTCCTTTAGCTATAACTAAAAACATTTCAGTAAACCTAATTTTGACTGTATAGGGGAATGTGTAGTAATTTTTTGGCATTTGGATTATGGAAATGGGAAATTAAAGCAGTGTGATAAACATAGTATGCACTATAAAACTGGAGATAATAAAGTCATTAAAGAACTTCAATGGAGTGTTTGAAAATGACGAATATATAGCTACTAGTCACGGTCCAGTCTTTTTTCAGTCAAACTCCAATAAGGAGGGACCAATCCTAATGTGAGTAAATGAAATCTGCAGGTAACTTATTCCTTAATTTTAGTTAGCTTTTCTCTTTAACTGCAAGTAACCCTTTTACTAAAAGTGCTAAAAGTAGCAAAATTATCTGCTTTGAATTGTGTAACTTTGCATTCCCAGATCATCCTTGGGGAAGAGGCATGTTGTACAAACGAGCAAATTGGCCAACAGTAATGAATAGTAAAAAGTCAGCAGCCTAGGTAATATATATACAGGCTAGTCAATCAGTCTAGCCAAATGCTGGAGAGTCACCATTAATCTCAGCCTGCTTTTATAATGACTATATGTTTTAAGTTAACTTTAAAATGTGTCAGCCCCCTTGTATTGTTTAAACAGGTCAGCATGAAAATACACAGTTCTCTAATGTGTGTGGGTAGGAAGCTTTATAATAAAATTGGAGATTCTGTTGAAATGTACACATGGACATCTTGTAACTCCCTAATTTAAAAATAGGGTTAATAGAAATTACCAATATTTAAATGGGGAAAAAATTATTACCCTGTATAGGTTTTATTTCTTTATTCATTTTAACTCAAAATGTGTGAAACATAGAATCTAGGTTTTTGTTTTGTTTTCTGAATTCTACAAGATTAGTACCAAGAGGCAAAAATGTTCTGTTTCAAATGGAAAGAAATTTGAAAAGAGAAAGCAGGTTATGAAACATTCAAGACACCTTCAACCTGTGAAGATCTAAATGTCATTGCTAAATTTTATAGTTTGCCTAGAGCATTAAAAAAGAGATATTAAAAAAGAAACAACCCTATGAAGTGTTGTTTCTGGTCTCTCTTAATTGTTGTCAGTTAATATAACAGCATTTGAGCTGCTAATCAGTCCTTTGACAATCAAATCAATCCCAGGATACCCAGGAAAATGAGCATTTTTAGAATAATAGTTCAGGAATAGAAATGTTTTAACTGAATGGACAGAATCAGTTCTAATGTATTTATGTGTATGTCCATCCTTTATTTGGATTGGAACTAGACTTATAAGTGGTTAATTTTCCATTAGTTAGTATAGAAATCCGGTTTCTCCATCATATATATCAGTGAAGATGAAGATTAGTTCTCAAAAAGAATCCCCATTTCTGGTGTTTCTTTTAATAAAGTATGCCTCTTTTGAAGAAACAATTATAAAAAATAAAATTATTTTTTAAATTTTTAATCGTAAAAAATAAAGGAAATATTTGTATGACAGTACTGTATATATGTAGTTCTCTTTGTATTTAAATATATTACTGCCGAGGATACAGGTGGTGGATGACATGTCATTCTGTTAGAATTTTGTAGTAGTTGTGGCTTGGTTCACAGTTTATCATTTCTTCTTTCTTGGTCTTGGTTAATCCTGAGGCCCTTAAAATGGTTGGCATTATTTATGACTTTATTGTGGTAACCTTAGAGACATCAACTTTCTTAAGATCAAAACAGAAGAAAAATATGTTGTTCAAAAATTGATGCCAGGTCTACCTTCATTCCTTCCCTTAATCATTCTTTTTCTCATTCAGCTCAGATCATCCTGTACTTGAAAAATGAAGTTTTGCCACCATCAAAACTATTATTATTTAACAACAATGAAGATCAACAGAAAAATTCAAGTAGCTTTGCAAATACTAGTTGATACCCAGTAAAATCATTTCACTATTTTTATGTCTGAAAAATACCCATGTGATTTATGTTTAATTACAGAAGCCTATTGCCTTGGAGCAATTTTGCGATTATAATACTGATTAATTGGTTTCTCCTTCTGATATATCTCAGTAATACCTGTAGTCTTTTGGCTTCTCTATCCTGACAAAGCTCACTGGAAATTGCTCTCAGATTTTATAAACTGAGGGATTTCTCACTTAGGAGAAACTTAAGTATTGAAGATGGAACATTATCTAAAATGGAGGAAGGATAATTAACACACATCACATATAGAAATATCTTGTTAGATTGCCTATTATTATAGTCTTTTTGTGCATTTCAGTCCTCTGAATTGAAAAATTATAAATTCAGCACATAATTAACACACATCACATATAGAAATATCTTGTTAGATTGCCTATTATTATAGTCTTTTTTGTGCATTTCAGTCCTCTGAATTGAAAAATTATAAATTCAGCATTTTTAATAGCAGAAATTGGTATCTTTCAGTTCTGTGTAGATGTGGATACTGTATAAATGATTATAGATATCCAGACTGAGGAGGCAAGAATAAAGAGAGATGGAAATCTCTTATTGCTGTGTACCCTGGTGGTTGGTGCCCTGTCAGCATAGCCGGCCACACTGACTCTATATCTATATCTGCATATACACCGTGATTAGAAAATATGCAAGAAATTGTTTTTCCATGTTGAGAATGAATGCCATTAGAAGACGTCCTTAATTGTGTTGAGTCACAGTATTACTAAGTCAAGGATGACTGTTCTACCAATCTAATTTTGTGTTTTCACATGGAAATGTAGTTGGAGTCTGTGGTATTTTTCCGTGAGTAGGGAGTAAGAGCATGAGTCAATATGAAAGCATTTATGCATTTGTTTTAGAGTGCAGTGTAGTGCTTGTATTTGTGCAGGAAATTACCACAAAGCAGTGTAAAGACACTGTGGCCTCTAAGGAGCTGAAAGGTGCCCTACTTCTTGATACATCCTCTGTTGTTTTTTCCATGTTGTAGGCAAATGGCACCATCCCTTAGACTGATGGATGCTTTGGGCCATCTTTATAAGTTTGATGTTAGTCTTACTCTAATTTTTTTTTTTTTCTGCAAATCAAATAGAATAAGGTATGGGGACACAAACTCATTTATTCTGGCTCTTGATTTATTCTAAGAAGCTGCTTGGAATAAGTTTGATGGATGCTTTGGGCCATCTTTATAAGTTTGATGTTAGTCTTACTCTAATTTTTTTTTTTCTGCAAATCAAATAGAATAAGGTATGGGGACACAAACTCATTTATTCTGGCTCTTGATTTATTCTAAGCAGCTGCTTGGAATAAGTCAGTAGAAATTGGGAGAAAAACATGACCAACCTCATTACAGGGGATAAATGTAAACTTGTGAAAGCAAGGACCACATCATGTTTCTGTGTCTCCCAAGCAGCCAGCACAGTGCTGTGTAACCTGACAGATGCTAGATAAATGTGTGTTGAATGCACGTGCCTTGGAAGTCACAAAGACCACCAATATAGTAGTATATAAGTAAGGGTTGACTTCCATAGTGCACACTGGAGAAATTACATGATTGACAGAATAGTGGGGCCTTTACCTGCAGATAGTAGTGCTCTTTTATAATAATTCTTGTTTTATAGTATTCCACCTGGTTCTTTTCATTTGAAGAGGTCTTGAAATTAAATCATCTAGTAAATATTTTAGGGCTACAAAGTAAATAGCATAAATCAGCAGAGATTTTTTTGGTAAAATGTCAGAAACCAAACTATAAGAAAAATTCAAGCACTTTATTTTATTTCTTGGGTATATGTCATTATTTTAAACTCCAAACTCCTTTATTTAACTATTGTGATAAGTGCCTTTGATGTTTTAGGATGTATGGTGGACAATGAGCAAATGTAAATGTCATGTGCCCTGTTCACTAGCTTCTCGATTCCTCATGACCAGATTGCCAGTGTTGCAAACTTTAGTCCTTTGTGTTTATATCAGATATGTATTTGTAGCTCCTCCATAGTAAACAGTAAAATAAACTATTTCATAGAAAACAAAAATGAAACACTGACTTATTCAATATGTGTTACCTCTTGCGTTAACTTCAAAGTACAGCTTATTAACAAATAACATCTGGATAATCACCCCTGATTTAATCTGTCCCTGTTTCCCAATAAAGTACCTGGGAAAAAAAATAAGAAAAGGTATTCTATCATCAAAAACTATGTCCAAGACACAACCTATTAACGAAATCAAGGAGATGTTTCTCACTGTAAAATCAATGAGTCTCATTTGCAGAAAAAAACCATTGGTGGAATATTTATGCTTTACCTCAGTGATGTCTACTTGAAAGAGAGGATGGAGGACAAATTTCTCTTAAGCTTATATGTCCCAATCAGAAAACTTGGCATCTGTCCCTCAGCTGCATGATGCTGCTTTCAGGGGCAACGAGAGTAGTGCTCATTCTCTCCAACCTCCCTCTACTCACACACTAAACTTTCTCTTTTTAATACTCCAGAAAGGTGTGGGAGGGGGACAATACTGGGGACACATTGTACTCAGATATATAGTCTCCACAAATAAAGTTCTGCAGTCAGGAGTGGAAATGGGAAGCATCCTGATAAGCGCATACTGAGTATGATAGTATTTAATATAACGGCCGTTCAACGTGTGTGAGAAACAGGCAGGAAGGTCAGATCCTACCCAAATCCAACAGTCACACTTAGTGAATGCCCATTAAATGCTAAAAACAGGGCTGGCCTGTTAGCTCAGTTGGTTAGAGCATGGTGTTGATAACACCAAGGTCACGGGTTCAGATCCACATACTGGCCAGCCACTAAAACCAGCTGTGGAACAGTGAATAGCAGCCTGCTTCTTAGTGTAGTTATGAGAAGGGGTTTTGACTAGTGGCTGAACGTATATATGAGCAGGGCTGAGGGCAGTGTGCACTTACCCTATTTATTGAGTAATAGGGCCAGATCTTATCTGATGATACCTAAAAAGGTGCACATGAGGCCTCTGAGCAACACCGAAAACAAGGGAAAGGGAACATCCTCCTGGATTATTCCCAGCAAGTTGTTTCTTCCTTCTTATAAAACTCCAACCATTTATTTTCCCCACTTGTGCTGTCAGCTTCTACCCCATATCTTTGCTCTTTTTTATAGCAATAGTTCTTGAAAGATTTGGCTATACTTTTTTGCTCTCTCTTAAACACTTCAGTTAAGTTTTGCCTCCACACTCCACCCAGCTTGCTCCTGTGAA